AATGCATTGATTTCTACTAGTTTGAACTGCTAAGTCTTATATTATGTGCATTTTATTGATATATATATATATATATATATATATACATATAAGAAGAGAGTGGAATGATGACACATAGCCAATCGGCGGCAGGCGAGCTGAAAATTTTAATGCCACTTGCCCTACAGTGGAAAAAGCGTACTAATTGCAAATGGTAACCCCGTGACCGATGTCATGTAACCAACCTTTACAACTACAGATTCTAAAGAGTGATTTTGAGCAAGCCGATTGGATTTCTCTGCAACGCATTCTGTGACGTATGACTATTTCATTCTGCTATAATTGTTACTTTAGCATAGAGCGATTTTGTACTTCAGCTGTATTTTCAAACTTGAAAAGTCAATTTTTTTTTTAATCCATTAGCAAAATGGATCTTGGTTCGGATTTCATGGCCTCCTCACTTTTCAACTACTATAATCAAGAGTAATAGTAAACGGTGCGCATGCGTTGCTATATCAACCACTGCTGTTTGATAATTTTTTTAGAATTCTTTTTTTCTCTTTTAACTTTGTTAAGTTGGTTGCATTAAGTTGGTGAGTCCATTTTTGAGATGTGGAACCAGAGAGATCCCATAAATAGTTCTTGAGTTGTGAACAAAAGAGAATTTCATCTTTTGAACGATATTTTTGTTTTTATTGTTTTAATTAAGAATCAGAAATTCTAACCTACAGTTCAAACTGGATCGTTTTCAATACAAATTCAGGTAAATATCACAAATAAAGAGGATCCCAAACTGATTGTCACGGTCCCAAAAGTTAGAGTTGAAGGAAGAAAAAAACGATGCCAAGGCCTAAACTTACCGAGGCTGAAAAAGCTAAAGAAGGTAGACGGGAATACCTTAAGCGTTACACACAAACGGAAAAACGAAAGGATTCCGCTCGCAAACGCTAGCATGAAGCCCGACCCTCACAATAGTACCAAAGTGGTTGAGAAAATTGAACCCTACCGAAGAGCGAATGATGACTCTCCGAACCCCTTTCATGCGAATACGAGAACTGGGTGTTGATCATCAGTTAGGATTAAAGGATCCATTGTGAACGTACACAATTACTTTCCCAAGACCGTAGACTGTCTTCCACGCGTTATAAATGATTCATTCACTATTCATGTATAATTAAAAAAATGCCTAACTATCAAATTATATTTCATATATGAACTTGTGAATTCGAAAGGGGTGTATGATGTAGCTTATAATCTCCGTCAAACAACCAAATGTTAATATTGATCTCGATTGGCTGTTCAATGTATATTCACTCATCAAAAGAATTTACACAGAATGTGTCTGAGCTGCATTTAAATATGTCTGCGAAATTGTGTACCGAGCAGTTCAGGATTAACAGT